CTTATATATATATATGCATTACTACACACACAACACACACACACACACATATATATATATATATATATATATATTCTTTATATATATATATTGGACGCCAATTGACAATGATGTAAGGCAATGAGCGATGACAGAAGCAACCAGATTCTAGTTCTGTATATCTGTGTATATGGTTTCGGATTCCCTTGACTCTTTGTAATATGATCTCGTAATCCATAAGAATCTAAGTATGTTCACACATAGTCACAGCTGTGATACTAATAGTAGACGGAATCTTTTGTTACAGAAATATTCAATTTTGCAAGTATATATTATAGATATCAACATACCATGGTTACAAAGGACACTACAAACATGTTTTTGTAAAAGACGTCTCTGGGCAGCAAAAGCGCTAGATAGTCCTGTTTTTTTGCTTCAGCGTCGAACACATTTTTAGCTTGTTTTGGCATGCTGTGATAGGTGTGTGTTATGGGGACCCGTAAGTATCCACTATCCAACTTTAGAGCTGAGTCAGTTCTGTTTATTCGTCGTGTCACTCTGACACTAGCTCGTGTTATACTTCTACTGTACTACACCGTGCCTCAAGTTATACATATAGTCTACTGGTCTTTTCAAAAGTATAATATATTATATATTACGTATAAGTGAACTCTTTTTGCTACAATATAAGATAAAGATTTACATACTATTCATAACCTTCTCCAAAAAAAACTCGATTAGAGAGAAGAATAAAATCTAAAATCTGATACAAACAGATAATACAGTGTCAGTGATAATCACGGATTTTGCTATGTTGTGTGGTAGAAAACAAAATATTTCGAAATTCTCGATGACCAAATTCGGACACGATAGATTGGACGCCAAGAAACCGAAAAACGGCCAATGCCATTGTCCGTCGACCAGCAGGAGTGTAGAGCCGCCGCTATTTGTCGAGTTCGATGAGCAATGAGTAACGAGTTAATGACTACTAAAATATCAGTGGGGACATTGCCAGGACAGTGGACACCCCGATGAAACAATGAAATATTTTTATATTTCACTCCACAGCCCGCACTCCAGTCACCAGTCGCTGAGTCTCAGGCTCTCAGCTCCACAGTCGACACCTGACTCTGAGTGGGTCAGTGAGTCCATCCACAGCCTAGTAGTAGCCCACGGCCCTATGGCCTATGTACGCCCTACGCCCTACGGCCACTTGAGATTGAGATATTGTCAGACATACAATCATTATCATAATTTCACACACACGCACGAGTGACACACACACGCAAATGACGAGTCCAGAGTCACACAACCCTCTGGAAGTCAGTCTGTCCTGGGGGATTTCGAATTGAAATTCTTTTCCCACCCCGGGAAGACTTCGCACAAAAACGGAAAACCTGCTGGATGATTTCCAGAGGGTCGCGACTCGCGACTCGTGACATATTTACATAAATAAATACATAAATATTTACATAAATACATTCAGACAGTCTGCACGAGTTTTCAAGTTGTGAATATATATGTAAAATCAAAATTTTACGTTTTTAAAAAGTATTCAAAATCACATTATGTCGCAGGATTCAGAATCTCAGACTTCAAAGTTCAGTAACAAAATTACTCTCCACAACTCCACAAGTGACAATAAGAGCCCATAAATTTATCAAGTACACCTAAAGTAAGAAGTTGAAAGTCACAAATGCACCTGTTGTGAATACCAAAATTCAAGAGGTGGGGCCCTGGTCACTGGCGGGGGCTCAAATCACTAGACATCAGACTACATATGTTGCATAATGTCCTTATGAGATGCATCCAGACCTAATGTCAAGGCCAAGCACCCAAGCCCAAGGACCGACACTGCCCTGTATCTGACCGGGCTGACTAAGCGGAATGGAATGATAGTCCAGAGTCCAGATTAGGTCTAGAATTGTAGATTGTAGTA